GAGCGGGGTAGACCTGGAGGTGGCTAGTATGCATTTTTCCTTGGGTGTGAGATCCGGCGCCGATCTTCCTTCTGCTAGGATTTTTCCTGCAAGCCAGGTTCTCACAGCGGGCACCCACGTCAGCGACGACGTGCTCCGGCATGTGTTGCTAGTGTGATCATGTAGCGTGGTGTAAGTAGGTGGGATAGGAGAGGAAAGTAGAAAGATCGCCGCGTCCGGCTTGTTGGAAGGTTAGTCGGCAGTGTCGTTGTGTTGATCGAGGCAACACGCAAAAAGTACAAGCCGGCTGCCGAGATTCTCTTCCTGGCAGACATTGAATTCGCCTAGGCTGAGTATGAGGTGAGTGTCCCCGAAGAAATCCTGTTCATCGTCAGCGAGCGCGAACAAGACTTCCCGTTTCTTATCGGGCACGCTGTATCTTATCTGTAGTGACACCAGTTGCAGTGACTCTGGCCACTACTGTCGGTCGCATACGAGATGGATATTGCTGGAGTATTAGAAACGACGGCAAGCTGGAGAACGAATTTAATGAGAGCCAGCAAGAACAGAAAACAAGTAATAGGCTCATACCGCCATCTTCGTATCCGCACGCCCCACAGTAACTTGACGTACCGGAGCGTGTCTCCGGGTTAGATGTCTAGCAGATCCGTATTCCCAGATAAGCAAAGACGTCGGTGGTTAGACGAAGCGGGTAGGGAACAGCGGAGGAATCGTATACGAACATGGCAGGCACATCCGAACTCAAAGGGACGATGCTCCTTGGCTAGTTGGGATGTATGTTCGTTTGTAGAGAGGACGGGAACCCGAGCCAGGATTTGAAAAGTGGAGCGCGTACTATGTTGGCTAAGGATGAGCGGTTGATGAGAGTCTGTGTTCTTGTTGGGTTGTGGAAGAGACAGGTTCTTGATAGAACAGAGAGGAGAGATCGACGAGGTATTGGAGTTCCCAGGAAGTCTAGAAGAGCAACTTCAGCGGGGAGCAAAATCGCAGTAGGGACAGAAAGAACAGAGCCTGTGCTGCCAAACAGTGCTGTAGTGGAGATTATCGGCACTCGCCTCTGAAGAGTCTAGACGCTATTTTGGATGACTTGGCAAGAGTAAGCTGTGAGCGCCAAGAAGGAGGGACAGCCGAGACGAGAGGTGCTTGGAAACACCCGTACAAAACTCTGTGGACTTAAGATCAGTCAGCCGTCGGTGTGCATCATAAATTATACCATGTTAAAGAGCAAAGGAGTGCTGGATAGAAATTGTGGCAAGATACTCACTTGGAAGAGGAGATAGAAGCTAATAGATCGGCAAGATAGCTTATACGAAAGTAGAAGTTATTCTATGAGAGCTGAAGACTACTGGTGATAGGCTGAAAACGATTCACGGTTATTCAAAGACGGTTAAGCTGAGTCTCAGATATAGACGTTCATGACGCAGCTTGTTAAACATCTTACTACCCTGGCCCTGACGGCATCTAGTTACAACTCAAAGGGACTCAACTGGGGCATGGCCCACATCCTGCTTAGTACTCTTAGAATCCAAACGTCTGGAAGGACCCGAATTCAAAAAGAGAACCCTATCGGTATCGCACGCGCTTGTTTTTAGGCTGGTCCCCGGGGAAACGAACCCTTTTTTTCCCAACTCAATTTTTTTTTCAATGTACTATCTTTCCTAAAGATTTCGTCGAGGACGCCAGCTAATCGGATCGTTTGCGCCGGGATCGTCTGCCTCGAGCTTAGGAAAGTAACGTGAGAGTGAGAACATGATACGGGATACGAAGCGGGTGTGGTAAGCGGATGGGGGAAGCGGGTGGGCTAAACGGGTGGAGTAAGCGGGTGGAGTAAGCGAATGGGGAAGTGGGTGAGCCAAGCGGGTGGGCTAAATGGGTGTGCGAAGCGGGGTCGCGAAGTGGCGCGTGAGAAAGGGTTCAAAAGAGCAGAAGTGCTGGTATTTGAGGCACTTTTAAATTTACCCTTTTGGCTTACGGTGCCATTGGAACTGAATAAATTCTTCCATTGCGCAGCTGTGGATCTTCCTCTGCGCAGCAAAGAAAATTCTTTCTGTGCCTGGATGAAGTGCTCCCATTATGCCACAATGAAAGCGCGATCAGCTCCACGGCCTCTAACTGCACATTATGCAAATAACTTTATGGATGATACGTAAAATATTGGTGACTTTGGGTACAGGAAAGGTGCAATAAGAATACAAGACAAGAAATACGTAAGATTTACTCTAGAAGAAGTTCACAATGAACGAGTCGTCCGTTGGTAGAATCTTTAGGGGAAAATATACTAGTTGCTTCAGACAGAAACTTGAGTCGATAACGCACCAAAGCGTGACTCTTTCGAAGCAATTATGTATTTTGATAATTTTGTTTTATTACTCTAATGTTCGTTTAAATTTGTCACTTAATTGTGACTTAATTTTCTTCGAGAGGCATATACATAGAATGATGGAGATAATTCTAAATACCTCTTTAGCTTATATTTACTCCTAAATGCCTTCAATGAACTGCAATAAAGGTAAAAAAATGAAGTTTTTGAGTATGAGATGCAGGTAGCAAAAGCTTAGTAGTCGTAACTTAAATTTTGCGTATTGGGCCAGTGAACAATAGAATGGGATTTTTCCTTTTGCAGTTTTTCGAAAATTGCGTGGTTTGAAAAGCAATAAATCAGCGCTCGAATAAGAGACGTTGCAGGGGGCACCCGCTGCAGAAAGACGAGGTCATACGCCTGCCACTCCTGGGGCTTGGGATCGACCCCCGATAAATCCTAGTGGAATTTGTGGTGGAGAGCGAATCCTCGGGTTTTCCCGTAGATCATGAGACATGGGGATTTTAAAGATCCCTAAACCCCAAAAGAACGTCAATAAATTAATAAATAAATAAATACATAAATAAATAAATAAATAAATAAATTAAATAAATAAATCAATTTAAAAAAATTAAATAAATAAATGAAATAAAGAAATAGTGACGTCTTTCCTTCAATTACATCCTTTTAATAACGGTATCCAATTATTGCAAAACCTTTCCATAGTTTTCGCGATACCACTTTTAGAAAAACTTCATTTGAAATGATTTGTAGCATTTTAACTCACAAATACAATAGTGTTTACAAATTGCTGTGAATGTACGTATTACCGGCGTGAGAGATATTTAAAAAAATACATTTGTGTAAAAAAATACTTCAAAAGGAACTTTACGTCATATAGCAAGTTAGCTCTATTCTTTCGAAATGTTTGAAGTAAAATTTTTGAGGCTTTTTTGTTGCAATGGGAAGAGGAGGGATGTTGGATTGAGAAGGGAAAAAGGATAATAAAACTGCACCGTATTCTCAAATAAATAATCAATATGATGTTATTGAGGATATGAGAAAAACAAAATTTTATCTATTAATGGGAATGCTGTTATTAAAAGTTATGTCATTAAGGCGGTAAAAGAGAAGTTAGTTATGACTACGTCACACTATGTTGAAAGTATTTGTTCCTTACCCAGCAACGTGGCGGATTTGATAAAATACTCAATGAACAATCAGCATGATTTGAGAAGTCGAGTTGTTAGGTTATAAAGGTAGAACTACTCAGATTCATGAATATTGGATTGGATGATAGATGTTAAAGCTTCCATGAGCAATGGAACATCTTAGTAATTTCCAGTTGATGTATTAAATGTAGGTCGAGGAGACAGATTTAATAAATAACTTATTTTATCAAGGAAAAGTTATAAATTCTCGAGTGGTTGGAGCAGCTGACTGGCAGTCAACTGGACATATAATAAGTAGCGTTTAGAATATTGAGATATTACAATAGTCATAAATAAGCAGTAACAAAGTAACAGTGGAACAGGATTTATATTTTTTAACCCATTAATGGTGCAGTTTGAAAGTCCTTTAAGTCCCTAATTTTACCACTGAATCCTTGCTGCACAAACATATACGGCACATCCAGAGATTGTTGGGGATCATCCAGGTGACATTATGTTGTTATAGTCTCTCATTAATTATCACTAGTGCTCACAAAACTCAAGATACACCGCATTCTCTTTGGGAGATTAACACACATACGTTCGCCAGGTTTTGATTAAAAACTTGCCTTTTCTTAACGTTGCAGAGAAGGAAGTTTTTTAAAATAAATATTCCACTATATTACAAATTATTGCCTAAGAGATAATTTGTTGATTTCTTTTGGTCAATCGCTCTACAGCTACAAATGCCGTTGCCAGTCAATTGGATCTGTTGATTTAATCGCCCAGTTCAGCACTGATACTGGTTGAAGCAATCACTGGCGGAATATAGAAGGATGTGACTCTTTCGTTCTACTGGAGCACCAGGTAGTTTCTTGGAAGATGCGTCGTTCAGCAGAAACATCCATTCCTTCATTACAAGACTTGTTCTGCGCTCAGCTACATTCCCCAGTGACCGAACAGCTAATGGCTACAGTCGGATATGAACTCGGAAGTGAAGTTGTATTGAGATCTTGTTGGTGACGTAGTAAACACGTGACAAACGACGAACGTACATGGTGACAATGTAAACTCAGTAATGCTTTGTTTCTTCTCATCCGTGATAACAGCTATGCCACTTTTGCATTATTTAAAATTATGATCGCAAGATTTTTGGAATTATGTCGTTTCTCGAGAAGACACAGTTCTTTTCTGGAATAAGAAATTAGTGAATTTATTGTAATTAGATCCGGTCATTCTAGAAAATGCCCTTCGGGTGGCTATGAACAGCGCGTTAGCTTTCTGTGGCGCGATCCCGAGTTCGATTCCCGGTCGGGGCATAAATAAAAGCTGTAGCTTTCTAATACAAATCGTTTGAGTTTCTATAGATGTGACAAAGTAAAAGCTAAGGCAGACCAAGTGTGATAGGGTACGGTGATGGGAATACGCCATGCTTGTCCTTACCCTCACTCATGGATAATAAATACAAAAACAGGGCCCAGGTCTGGGGATGCTATCCGTAATTAAAATTCATGAAATGGTAACATCCTCAACGTCTTTTTCTGTTGCAGGTCTTTGGACAGCGTCGAAGCTGTTCTCGTATATTCCCAACTGCCAGTGGTGTAGCGAGATTCATGAATCGGACGGTGAGGAATTCGACCACTGTGACGAACGTAAGTATTTACGACGAGCTTAGTGTTTGTTCGCGAAAACTGGCGTACTGTTTGTACACATCCGTGGTCGTATTTCTTGTCCATGCCAGAAACTTACGAAATGCAATAATATTTTTGATAAACTTATAGGTCAGCAGAATCAACTTCTCTTCGGGTCTTTCATTCGGGTCTTCCTTTCTTGTGTGTTCTTGTGATTTTATTAAAGTAGGAGTTATATAATGACTTCATTATAACACTCATTTCGATGAAAAAAAATGTTGTTTGAAGCAAACGTGCCACCATTTCACCCCCTTAACGAAGAGGCTCATATAAAATATTCATGGAAACGAGATAAAAATAGGATTTTATAATAATCAAAGATAAATTGATGATAAAGTTTGAATGTTACACGCCTGATCGGCGCATCTTGATAGAAACTTTTTTAAGATCTCTGTAAGGTATCACATGACGGTATGTCATTGGAATAAATCAAAATGATTGGGAATAAGAGGAAGTAGGTAGAGAGAGGTTGAGAGAGACATCACTAAATCAATAAGACAGAAAGAAGTTAGAATTAACGTTTAGTAAGAAAAACATCTTAATTTTGAGACAATTTACTCAATAATCCATGTTTTAAATTGGTAAATTTATTAGATTCCACTTGTGTATTCAAATAAGAAGAAGTTTTGATTTAGAGTTGAATTTTTATGTAAAACCATTATCCTTAAAATAAAAAAAAAACAAATACAGTTTGAGAAAGTTGAAAAATCTATAGACAGAAAAGAAAATAAACTTCGATCCACTAGGACGCTGAATAAACTTATTATTAAACTTATTATTAAAAAAAACGCTGAATAAACTTTGATCCACTAGGTCGTACAAATTGATCTAAAATTAAATAATCTCTCTCAGATATATCAGTGGCCATTCGTCATACTGAAAACAGTTATTTTTGCGAATAGCGCCATCCCCACGGTGGCCACTTGCCGTCGACACGTTTGCTGCAGCATTTGTGCTGCGTCATGCTGGCTGGGAGAGCGCCGGGAGCCGAACACAAGCCTTTCCTCCGCCGCGCACTTTTTCTCTCTCCCTCTCGTTCCGGGTGGGGTGGGGGGATCCGCTGAGTCACGCACGCGTCGCCGCCTTCGTCACGGTGATTCGCAACTCTGCCCTCCCCCAGCGCCGGTCGTTACGCGCATGACAGGGCAACTTGCGAGGCCCATCATCTGCGATTCCCAGCGCGGTTAATCTAATCTGATACTCACGGCGCGACTCCCTCACCCACATTTATAGAATTGGTGTTCGGTTTGCTGTTGCTTTTGCTTTCTCATACTACGCCTTTGATACACTGATTACCTTTGTTTTTAAGTGGTGAATGTTTAGAGACTACTACACTGTGTATTAAAAAAACAACAACATATTTTATGTCGCTAGTAATAGGCGAAGGTATTTGAGTAGTTTCACTGTTCGTGAGAGATACGTTGTACTCGACACACCTCCTTTTGTTGGCTGATAACGATCTAGAACATTATCGCGAGCACAATGGCGTAGCATCTGATTGCTGAATGTTATCTGCTCTGATGCCATGTGATGGCAGAGATAAAAGCTCTGTGATAATTGGTGCAGCGGTTGCGCAACTTGTGCTGGCGCCGACCTTGGGACGTCTGTGACCCCCACCCTTGCGCCCCGCCTTCGCCTTTCATCCCCCGCATCTGCCACCCGCACATTCCTCCAACAGTGAGTGGGAAACACACCTGTTCGCTAAACAAGAATCCTGCGCTATAATTACGCGACGGGCAGATTGACTTGAGTGCAATGAATTTGACCAACCTGTAGATGAGGTACGCCTATGGTCCTAGGGAGGGTGTGAAACCTTCCTCTCACTTTAAATTATATTATTGTTTCCCTTAACAGAAATATTCAATTCGTGGTTTTGAAAATACCTTTTTAAAATATTGGGGACTACGTTTATGGGCTCCCCAATCTACACTCTACTATCAAGCCATCTTGCTAAAACGTCGTTTGTGATAACTAGAACTCGGATTTTAGGGCCAATACCTATTAAGTACCTGTGGGAGACACAAAACTAATTGCAAATGTTTACGAAACATGAAAAAATAGTGTACTGAAAGCATCTATTAGTGCCTAAAATGTTCTAACACAGTGTTTGATGCCTATTTTAATATTATTTTGACTAAAATTGCATAAAACAAGTTATTTTGAACTATTATCATATTTTATTTACTCATTTTTTAATTTGTTGTATCGAAACGCGAATATTCCCTGATCAAATACGCAATCGACTACGCTCCGAAATCTCTCACTCACCAACCGATGTATCTCTGCAAGTCTACATGAAGAGGATGTTTCATGTTCGTCACCGGTGACCGTGTACTTCTTACTCTTAGCCAATTTAGCTTACCTTAGCTTACCATATCTTACCCTAGCCCTCCCCAGTCAAGCTGCGCTGTTGGCAGGCTGGAGCTTATCGCTGCGGTGCGTCGTATTCGCACCCAGGCGAGGAAAGCCACAGGTGAGGCAAAGGCCTACTATCCAAAAGGGCGAAGTTTAAAAAATCGCCCAGCAAAATGCAAATTTTTTATTCCTGCCCTCAACAGCCGAGCTCGAACGCAAAGACAAACCTTTGAGTCATCTATTGTCAGAGGTGCAACACGCGGAAGTAGAAATTAGAGCTGGTAAGTGAGCCGTTGGGGACGAACCAAAGTACAAATGGCAGAGCGTAATGAAAAATATCCAGGATATGGTCTAATGGGTGGTTTGGTACACGTTTTGGTGGGGGAGAGCGGGAAGTTGATTCTACCAACTGCGCAATGCCTCCCGTCTTGGCCCTAACGACGTCGGTGTCACTGAGAAACGCGAAGCTGGGGGGACGTTTGGCATCTTTCACGAAGGGTGGGGCGAAACCCGTCGCCGTCGATGATAAATATGTATGGTTAAATTAAATAACCATTGAGACGTAATATTAAACATGTTAAGGACAATCAATGCAAGGGAACTAAAGCAAACGCATATGCTCTTTAGATAGCATCGCACATTATGCACATGCGATTAACGCATTAGTGCTTTTCGAGTGGGCCACGCATAAATTGTAAATATATTCCTTCCTCCAACCTTCCTCTCGTTCTGGTCTTAAGCTCATCCTAAGAACAAACGACTTCAAAATGCGTTCAGGAGTTTCACAAGACCATATCTGATGGATTTCTGTGAATGAAACACAAACAATGACTGAGCACCTTACTTTATTATTAACATGAGGCAACGGTAATTTCCATACCTGCTATTTTAAGAACATTTCAAGGGGGAAAATTGTTACATCTCATTATTATTTATTCCTTTTTCTGTATGCCCTAACTCGGAGAATCTGTTCCTTCGTGCATTACGCGCTAAGGAAAGAAAGAGTTTTGTATCACTTATAAGAAACAATGAGCAGAAAATGTATGCTACTGCTAGAGATGGAATGGTCAGATCTGCATCAAACGAAGAGTAGAACTTCACAATTTATGTTCTACTAGGTGCATATGCAATCCGCATCAAAAGTTATCCTGAAACACCCAAGGCCATCGCACAACTCGAAAACGATGCACTCCAGGCTCTTTTCCGCGGCTTTACAAACTTACGACGCTTTATACGTATATCATGTTTACTACGTATATTAATCTACACTACGAATATTACTCCGTTTATACGTACGTATACGGGAAAGATAAAATGAACATTTTACATCTTATCAAATCTGATTTCGTGAATACTTTTGAGTATCTGAGGTTGTTTGGTCCGAGATTACCTCGAATACTCCAAAGAATTCACAAAATCATATTCCAACTCTAGAACTCCCGGTGAGGACCACTGCAGAGTCAGCTGCAGTACGGGCTCTTTAGCTCTGAGCTAAAGTCAGACGATGAATCGTAACGATTTTGTTACTGATCGCACCACATTATTTTGTATATTTTGCACAACGTAGCGTAAAACGATAATGATGTATTTTATGAGGCAACACGTTTTAGAGACAACCACACACTGTTTGAAGTCTTAGGGGAGAGTTGCATAATTTGGGCCAATTTTTTTCTTTTCGTTTCCTTGCTCTCAATAAAGATTTAATTAAAACAAAGTGTATACCAAAGGATCTACAATCTATTATCTACTTTTTAGTATAGTAAAATATAATATTTTAATTACATTCTTTCTGGAGGAATGGGGAGAAAAATGACAGTGCGCAATCGGTCCAAATTGGAATACTGGTCCTAATTTGGTCTCATATTCTCCTGAGTTGAATGGGAAAAGAATGCACCATGTTATAAAACGACTGGTAAAACGAGCCTGTTTAATGAAAATAACATTAATACAACATACGATGGACAAAATATATTGTTGAATACTTTGAAAGAAATTAATTTTCTTGGGAAAAGACAATCGGCATTTCGTTCCTTAATTTAATGATTTTATAACTTCATTCAAATGATCAAGAAGCACTCCTTTTAAATTTATAACTGAACTTGCCTGCCAGATTTAAAATATTGCAAATTGATGTAAAAACTAAGTAGCGCAACATAAATAAATCATAAAGTTCTGCACTTTTTGCTTGATAAAACCTAATAGGCTTCGAGGAAAAAGTGAGGTAGCTAGTAACATTAGGTTCTATCCTTTCAACTTTTGTAGACACATTTCTTAAATCTGGATTTACTTTAAGATATTATTTAAAAGCATTACACTAATATTTTATTTTTTCTGGTTCACGCTCGTCTTCGCGCGTTTTTGAATTACGATCACCGAAATGGAAGCGGCCGCGGTGGGAGCTGGTTGCCTTCAGCTCTGTCTTTTCGGCTGAGGCGCGCGACTGTGGCGCCAGCGAAGAGGGGGACGGAGGGGGAGCTGCGCCCAAGGGCGATGTGCGGCGCAGAAATACCGCTTGATTTCGCGCCAGACGCCGCTTTCCGTTTCTCGATTCTTGTGGGTACAAAGCGGTTCGACCTTCAAACGAAATTCCACTCACTTCTCCGTCA